CTGGCTGTAGATAGGGCCTTTTTCGCAAGTTTCGGGGCATCCGTAGTTTCGCCTACACACTTCAAAGCTCGATCTCATTCCCAAGTCAAATATGAAATAAATAAATAAATATTTTATTTAACTGTTTCATAACCAGTTAAAAAACTAGGGATGGTTTGTTATCACTTTTGCATTTCCTATAAACCTTTAGTGTCTGCAGATACCAGTACCAATCTTTTTCCCTCTCATAAACAACTAAGCTGTTAATGGATGCACTTTCCATCTAAAAAAAACATCATACTCAAACTGGGAAACTAATATTGAGAGTTTTTGATTATTCAGCACCAGTCAAACAGAAATAATCATGTCTAGACCTTCACCTCTTGCATCTAATGATGTTTGCAGCACCACAATTTATCTTCTCAGTCTTCATTTCTGCCAATAATTCCTTCACATCAGACTCTTCTGGTGAGTCACCTGTGTGATCTAATCAAATAAGTTGTGGCTGTCACCTTAAACTCATTATTTTCAAACCTCAGGACCACGATATTAAACTGTCAGGTCTGTCAAAATGAGTCTGGAGACTCTCTGGTAGGCTGAAAAATGCTCACGATCATACAGAAAGCAGCTGCATGACGAAACGAGGTGGTGTAGAAACACTACCGCTTTTGTTCACAGGGACCGCCAGAATGAACAGAAAATTTAAGTTCCTTGTTGCTTTAAAGCATAAGAACATATGAACATATGGATCAGTGACAGAGAGCGATTATAGTGGTCTGAGAAGTCAAGGGATGTTTGGGTTTGTGTTGCTAATTTTGAAGCCACCTTTAAAGTCTACATGGCTCATTGTTGTTCTTTAATTAGATTTGTTTATTGAACTTTGCAAGTGAAATCCAAATTTATTTCAGAAAACCTATTTGTGTTGCTGCTTACAGTATTTTAAGACAACACTAAGCCAGTGTGTGATCTATACTGTGAGTTTTTGGGGGGTGGTTGCAAGAACAGCATGCTCGCCGGTATCTTTATTAAAGCGGATTAGTGATGAATCAAAGTCATGCATGGATAATACATGGAAAATAGCCTAACTTTACACATGATCCATGATGATGACGATACAGAAAAATGAAGAAATACGCAGCAAAAATAGCATATTGTCAATATTTTAGAGACCCCCACAATTTCAGAAATCATGTCTTGAGGGGAGCTCATGTCTTATTAAGAGGAGAGAAGCTCCCCCAGGCTCCCCTGTAGTTCCAACAGTAAGACTACAGCGAGGCTCTTGTTCTTTGATTCAGATATTTAAAGGACCAGTGTGTAGGATTTAGTGGCATCTAGCGGTAAAGTTGTAGATTGCAACCAACTGAACACGGCTCATGACTGTATTTGACAACCTGGGAATGAGAAAGGGTTGTCAAGTGTGTACGAGAAACTACGGTGGCTGCGCAACTCACTGAAAAAGCAAAAGGTCCCTATCTGCAGGCAGTGCAGACTCCTGTACTAGGTGTGTTGTTTTCTTCTAGAGAATGACTGTGCAGTCGGGTCGTGGGTCTTATATTAACGGGTCGGGATCGGTCTGGATTTGACTTGGAGATAATTGCAGGTAACGGGTCAGTTC